TCCCCCAGTGATCCTGGTCCCAGATGTGAGGTTTTATCACTCCTGTATTACAGTGAGATTACTGTTGCTAGAGAGCAGAGTCCCAGATGTGTTTTGTGTAATTCCCATAGGAGAGCTGGGTCCGCAGGCACAAGGAGTATCAATGACAGAGACCCAAGTGACGTGTGCTGTTTGAACTGCGAGATGGTGTCACTACTGTAGGACAGCAGGGCTGCAGCTGTGAGGCTGATTGGAGTAAAGAACACATAAATACATAAAGAGGAAAACAAGCAATACTCTTGAAATGAGCCCAATCTGACATGTAAAATTTTAATGAATTTTTTCCCATTTAAATGTTACATTTGATAACAGATGAGTAGTTGGTTTAGTGCCATTTAAGGTGAATTGAAAAACATGGCTTTTGTCCACAGAAGAGGAAAACAAAACAGAAATTGAGCTGAAAAATAGAACCTGAGGCGGAGCTGGTGAGTTTTAATTATACCTGACAGCAGCATAAAGTCACGATCTTCCTTTTTCTTTGTTTCATACATGAATGAACTCAGTCCATGTTTTTATCAGATGTTCAGTGAAAGAACATCTTGTTCTCATTCTCTCTGCTTCATGTCAGCAATTTACGGCCAACCCAGAGTCAGAGAAAGGCCGATGAACTAGAAGAACAAAGACTGCACCATATTTTTTCCCTTTGAGTTTTGAATCTATTTAATCCCTAAAAATAATCTGTGTGTAGGATCCGACTCAATCAATCAATGGATCAATAAGTCACTTTGAAATGCAGCTTGCATAGAGAAGGTGGTATGTATTTACCTCCCTGCAGTAGATGCTGGAAGCACCAAATCAACATTTTTTTAAAAAAATATAAAGGGTTGAGTTTTTGTCATCAGTTGCTTAGCAACACAGTTGTGTTAAACCCCTTGAATGCTGAGCATATTGTATAATCAACTTAAAAACATCAAAAAATGAGCTCTTGAGTTCTCTGTGAGCAGTCTGCTCTCTCTCTCTCTCTGGGTTGACTCTTAGTACGAACAGATGACAATAAAAAAAATCATCAGTCGACTTCATTCAATCTGCTTTCTGCTCATCATCCTTCTGCTGTTTCCCAGCCACTGTTTCTGAGCCTTAACCACGACTGTGTTTCTGCACGATTTGTTCCAAATGACGTTCTCACAGTTTTCACAGAATCTGGCTGATAGGATTCAAACAAACGGTGATTTTCTACAATAAAGTGCCGCGGGGATGATGGGCTTTTGTAGGCTGACTTGGAAGTTAAAAAGCAAAACAGATTTTGATTTTTGAGTTAGACTATTAAATAAGCTCTGTGGGAAATAAAGGTTTTGGATACTTACACATTTTGTTGGGCATAATGAGGTCCATAGGCTTCAAAGACTTAAAGCAAAACCTTCAAATTTTATGAAATGAATATTTACTTATGTACTTGATGTTGTAGAACAAAACATAAAAATCTCTGAAGTTCATATCAACCACAGCCCCATTCAAAAATCCTGCTGACTGCGATAAGGGAATTGGAAGCGCACAGATTGTAGGACTGGCTTCTTTGATAATCCAACTGAGATAATCCTGAACAATTAGGAATACCACCAATCTGACCAAACAGCTGTGTGAAGACATGAAATGTAATTTAGCAGGACTCTTCTCAGTGTGAACACAAGCATCACTTCTGTGAACAGTTACGCCGGGTTCAGACTTTTTGATTTTGTTCTGACCACATCAGAATAAAAGATACTGGGAATGATGAGACCATACCAAACAGAGAGGTTAAAACCTAGAAAAAATACATACATTTTCCTGAAAACATTTGAGGGGAGGAG